TTGTTTGACATATTTCACCAGAATCTATATAATTAGCCGACTGAGGGGTTAAAGCTCTGAGTTCTTCAATCTCAATAACCATGTTCATTTGTTAGCTCCATGGTCAAGAATTTGATACTTTCCCCTCCTTGCAATCTAAGAGTCAATAATCCCATTTTCAGCAGAAATCTAATAATGTATTCTATGAATTTTAAATGGAAATTTAGAACAGTATATTTGTAGTACAAAAGATACTGAAAAATAGCTGTAGATGGACCATATCTGTTTTAGTCACCATTTCATCCATGGCACCTGAGCAAAGGGCTTGTCATAGAAGACATTCAATAAATATCGATGGACTGAGTGACTGAATTCTTTCACAAAACAAAAATGTCTTTAAGAAAGACTCCACTAATTTTGATGAGTGTTTAAATGTTGTGTTACATTTTCAAGACTTTCCTCCTTTATTTCTTATTAGAGGGCCTGTTCTGACACTGGTTGCTAGGGTTGAAAACTTGTCTGCTTTATTTTCAAGCTGTGTAACCACAGGCAAGTTACTTCATTTCTTGATGCCTCTGTTTTCTCATCTGGAAAATGGGCTTAGTAAGAAGGGTAGAGCGTGGAAGAAGTGGGATAAAATAAGGGAAGTGCTTAGAGAAGCACTTGACAAAATGTTCAATAAATCTTAGCATTGTTATTATTGTCGTTACTATTACTACTACAGTGACTACTGCTCAGCAAGATTCCCTCAATACTGTGGATGCAATTTACTTGCACCTTTCCCCAAACTAAAGTTCAATTAAAACATCTTTAATTGAAAAACATGAATAGCAAACTTTGTCTTGCATGCAATTTAATCCTAAAATTTCAAGACTCTGTTCCATGACGTAGATAAAGTGTTGTGAAATTTTATTCTTCCATTTTAATTTTTGAAGGCGCAAGTGAAGATTTTGACTGAATGTGAAAATGATCATCATCAATGTGGTTGCAGCATTTTCTCCCTGCTCATTCCATACTCATCATTTTTCAGATCCAACTATCATTTGCATGGGCCTGATGCTCTTGAGTAGGGATATTGCAGAGGAGTGATAACTTCCCTTTGCTATTGAAGCAGAAGCTTCAAAGAGAAGATTAAAGAAGTGTTTGTTATCTGTCTGCACAGGCCTGATATGAAATTCTCGGAGGCTTTTAAGATAAACACAACTCTGTATGTGTGCATTTATATGCTTTTTCTTCTGTATACTTCTTTGTGGTCCTTGTGCTTTGGTTTAAAATTTCTGGTTTCAGACTTATTAGACCCTCTGGCTAAAGGAGAATTGTTTTCAGAGTAAAGGTAAGAATTGAAGATGTTGGCAGGATTTGACTAAATGCCTCCTGAAGAGTATAGAATTGTCTATTGTAGAATCATCTTTACAGAGAACATGATGAAGGCCATTCGTAGGATATCTTTAACAAGACAAGATCAAGATCTGAAAGGTGTCCAGCAGAGAATACTCCATGGTGCCCTCCAGGGAGGGATGAGATTGCTCACCTTTTGGACTCTCCTTTTAGCAGTGTCTTCTGTGAACTGTGGAATAGAGGTGTGAGTTTTTGTTGTTGTTTTTTAAACAAACTTTCTTTAAGGTTGCTGTGTAAGTAATACTCAGAGTAAGAAGAGTGGGAGAAAAGATAGGGTAGCAAGAAGATTTATACCTTCTGAAAAAGAAGGGACTTATATTCCACTTCATGCCACTCCAAGTCAAGTTCTACATATGATTATTTTATTTTATTTTTTATTATTTTAAAATTATTATTATTTTTTAGAGACAGCGTCTCACTCTGTTGCCTGGACTAGAGTGCAGTGGCATCATCATAGCTCACTGCGACCTCAAACTCCTGGGCTCAAGTAATCCTCTAGCCTCAGCCTCCTGAGTAGCTGCAACTACAGATGCATACCACCATGCTGGGCTAATTTTTTTTTTTTTTAGAGACAGGGTCTTGCTATGTTGCCCAGGCTGGTCTCAAACTCCTGGGCTCAAGTGATACTCCCACTTTGGCCTCTCAAAGTACTAGGACTACAGGCATGAGCCACCATGCCCAGGCCTTTATATATGATTTTTATTGACAGAAATGTTTTACAATTGACAGGTGTAATTGAATATATTTAAAATGTATCACATGTTCTCTCTCATAAATGGGTCCTATGAGTGGAATGATATACATTGGAGAATCAGAAGTGGGAGTGGATGGGAGCAGGGAGGATGATAACAAATTAGTTAATGGGTACAATGTCCCTCTTTTAGGTGATGGATACTTTACAAGCCCTGATTTGACCACTAAGCAGCCAATGCATGTAATAAAATTACACATGTACCCCATAAATCTATATAAATAGAAATATATATTTCAAAAAAATAAAATGTGCATATGATTTGATATATGATATATTGTGAATGCTTAAGATCTATTCTCTTGGCAGCTTTCAAGTATACCATACAGTATTATTAACTATAGTCACCATGTTATACATTAGATCCTCAGAACTTACTCATAACTAAAAGTTTGACAGAAATATTTAATTACAGCATTCTCAATAATAATGCAGATTCTGCTATTTAACATCAACTAGGTAGACCTGCTACTTTATTTGATACTGTTAAATTGAATTCTTTCTCCATAATCAGCCTTCTTAAGATATAGCTACTATTGGTGGAAGCAATACCTTTAATATGTATGAACTTATAAGCTCATCTTTCTTCTTGACCAACAAGAAAAATCAGGAAACCAGGATACTTTAACATAGAGAAGGGAACTGAAAATATGTGTTAGTGGAGATCATGGGCAAGGGAGGCACAAAAGAGGCTGAGATCATCAATAGCATATTTTTCCTATTTAACAATTTGCCCCTAGAGTTTGCCTTCTAACTGCCACTGCACGGCTAGGTTTTTTTCTGGGCCAATAAATGAAAATGACATTGGTCAGCAAAGTTCCTGCTGTTGCCATCATTAACATTTTGGAAAGAGGAGAGTGTGTGTGGTGAAAGTGTGTGTGTGTGTGTGTGTACACACACGTGTATGCACATAGCCACACCTTAATTTCTATTTCTATTTAATTGGAAGTTGGGTAATGATAGGAATTGGGGGCTAAGGCAATGCCTCAAGAAAGATGAAAAATAGCAAGAGAAGATGGAAAATTGCTTACCCGTTTGATGATTTGCTTGATTAGCTATGTTTTGTAGAAAGGAGTTTTATGGCAAACTCTTCATGGTGGCCAGGTACGGCGAAAAGCTACACCATCTGCTAGCTGGAGATTGACCCATCTTACCATTATACGTAACTTATTTAAGTTTCAGCCTGTTCCAATGTCCATTTGCTGTTACACTGATACGGGCAGCTCTTCCTCTCAGCTGTTGCAGCTCTCCATTTCCCACTCCTTCCTCTGCTCCCTCCTCTCCCCTTTTCCGATGCAGATGTCATAGCTGTCCTGGACTCTCCCTGCCCTCTAACCCAAGCATCTTACTTTCCCTTCACCTGATTGCCAGCCCAGAGCTGTTCAGGCAAAGGAGAGGAGCAAGGAAAGACAGTTATCAGGTTTCTTTTCTACTTTTTCTTCTTCGTCTCTGATAATTTCCCTCAAATTCATCTGTGGATTATGGCAACATACTCCCCGCTGACCTCTGTCCATTTTCTGGAATTTTATCTTATACAGTAAAGAAATAACCTTAGATACTCCCTGGGCTGATGTTCCTACCTAAAGAAGCCAAAGCTAATTTCAGTCGTGTGTGTACTGGAAGACATACCATTATCATCTATGTATTGCCTTTTTCTGAATCTTTTTTGGTCATGAACACTTTTAAGAATTTGATAAAACCTGTGGACTGTCTCCCTGCATGGGGGGAGGGGTAGAATGCTCAGATGCACATAGACGATTGTCTATGAGGTTGCAATGAGGGTAGAAAAATATCCATTCTATTTAGTGGCATGGAAGGCATTATGCCTAGAACAAGAATTAAGGTGCAGTGACTGTGAGGTGATGGAGTATGTTGAGGAGGGAGCAGGCAGTGAGGAAATGAAAAGCGCAAGCACCGACAACACTTTTGAAAATTGTGCCGTGATGTGAAGGGAGACAGGACAGCAGATGGACGGATGTGAAAGGGGTGAGAAAGCGTTTGTTTTATTTTTATATGAGCATAAACGCTGCTGGAAAGGGCCAAGTTAGGAGGAAGAGGTTGAATATATACAAGAGAAAAATCAATGAAGAATAATGTCAGGTTCCTGTGAAGGCAGGAGGAAATGGGATCCAAAGAACAATAGACTTTTGTGGGTAACCATCATGTATATAACATCATTTCTGTGGGGGAAAAATGCAGTTTAGGGTTCCAAATAAGTGAGTTACAAATGATCCTTTCCACCACTGCTATTTCACGAGTTTACGACTTCAAGGGTTGTCGGTTTTGCCAATCACTTCCCAAAATAATGTGAGATGGAATGGTATAGTGGACTGCAAGAACTCCATTCTTGGCTCTGACACTAAAATGCTAGACAACCTTGAGTCCATTGCTCATGTGTCACCTGTAAAATTAAGAATTTAGGCTTACAAAGCATTTGAGGATGTGGTGTTGGTGGTCGTGGGGTTTGGATGTTGTAACCCCTGGGAGTGCCACTGATATTTGGTGCCCAGGACCAGTGATGCTAATAGTCCTGTTATACCCAGGACAGACTGCCACAATGAAGAACTGTGCTGCTCAAAGCCTGCCTGATGAGAAACGCTGGGCCACCACTGGATTCCCTCTTAGGACTTTTCCAGCTCTAAAGTGAAAATTATCTAAGGAGTTGCAGTGAACTAAATGCAGCTTTTACACCTTTGAGAATCTTTCAAATCTCAGGGACAGCCCTTTATTTTTTCTGAAAGTGAGTAGTGGCTTTGGCTAGTTATTGACCATTTAGCAAGCTTTCTGGACAAGGTGCTATAGTTACTGTATGCCAACCAAAATTGAGAAATACAAGTTTGACTTATCTCCCATTTTTTTCCTTGTATTTCAGATACTGTTGGGATTTTCAGCCCCAAGGTGAGTCCTCTTTGAATGGTTTTATGCTAAAAAAAAAAAAAATGTGTAGATGGGATTGTTACTTCTGTCTATTCTGTATAAGGTTCTCCACAGAGTGGCATTAACCATTTCTGAGGGAAGTTAGTGGAGTGTTTAATTAACCTTCACCCCGCTGGGCCCCCTGCCCTGCTTTATAGCAACAAGAGGCTCTCTGCTTCTGCCTTCTAAGTGGATTGTTGCTAGATAATTTTATAGAACCAGAGCTATAATATGCTTTTTTTCCTTGAGCTTTGTTAGATGCCAACAGGATCCAGTAGCATTCAAATAAAATGGTGGCCGAGTCCATAATAAAAACCTTGGGAGAGTTCCAACTCAGTTAATCCTTCATTTGCTCCAGAAATAAATTCCAGTATGTTACCTCCGCGATCACAGTGCCCTTCCACACAGCCTGCCTGTCTGGCAGCAGAGAAATGTCAGAAATGGAGCAGTGTTGAAATTCCCACTAGAACAGTGTTATCACATTTTAATATGAGCCTCACTGCAGCCTCGGTGCTTCTAATTGCTTTCAAACCATTGTTTTCCTGCTTTTGCTTGATGAACCCAGCATCTGGCATGATTCTAAAAAGTACAACAGACAGCTGTGTGCAAGATTAAAAAAAAAAAAAAAGGACAGGGTTAGAACACATTTTTAAAAGGTTCAAAATTGAAATTTTTTTTCTGAATTCAAACAGTTTGAGGGGGTGTCTTTAAAGTATATGCATTCCTTCTTTTTAGTACTCTGGCTGAGAATGTCAGAAACATCATCCTGAATATTAATTATCTTAATTTATTATACATGGAGGGTTTTTATTTTCTCAGAGAATCACCAGAGAGTTTTAGATCAAACTTGCAAATAGATTTATGAACTATTTTGCCCTACAACTTTTTTTAACCAATTGTACACTTTTTCAATATTTTTTATTCTCTTAATGTTGTCAAATGTATCCAATCGCAGTGAATGGTAACACCTTGAAGAAATTAAAATTGTGAGAGATAATAGTTTTGTTGAAATTTTTATTGTCCTAGCTCATATTTTCAGTGTATTTCAAGTCTGTATAAGGCTTTCTTTAAAAGCTAACTTTTAAGAAATAAAAATCTTATATTTTAAAGCTTCTTGACTCTTGTGAGATAAAGTCAGAGTACTTATACTATCTATTTTTTAATAATGTGATGTTGTGTTACTATATACCTCACTGTCCTAAATGAAGCATTTATAGCTGAAAACATAGACTGAGAAGTAGAGAATTATATGTAATAATGTAGCAGTTTGCTTTGCAAAATGCAAAATGCACTATTCAGGGAATGGCCCTATAGTTCAGGGTTTAACAGATGCTAACCAAAATCCACAGGGGGAAGAACATGATTGTGAACCGGCAGAAATGAATACAACTGTGAGGGTAGAATTAATTACCTAAAGGAGAAATAAAGAATTGGTGTCAGAGATGTGGCACAGTAATGTGATGAGAAGAGGAAATAATTTTAGAGCTTAACATAAGAGACTATATAAGACTAAAAAGACAAAGGGCACATTTTCCCAGACCATTTGATGGTGGCATTACAGTCATCTTCTAACACAAGGCAACTTTTACACACCCTTTCTCTCTTAGAGAGAAGGCAGAGGCAGAGCAGCCAGGGGGACAATTGAAGATCGTTTATTTAGAACAGAAAACTGTATTTGCTTCTCAACAATGATCGAATATGTATGGCAAAATATTTGCTCATTTGGAAGTAAATGTAAGGAAAGATGAAGTGGAAAAATTCATACTCTTGCCCTCAATCTTGCTCCTCCTCATACAGACACTTTTTGGGGGAGTGGGAGGGAAGGATATCTTTTACTTTGCCGTTTTGATCAAACCATAACTGATTGTATGCTTGAGAAACTGGTGGGGTGGAGGGGAGCAGTAACTGGTCTATATAAAGCATGGCAGGACAATTTAAGATTATGAAAAGAATAGGAATATGTAAGAAAGAGAAAACTGGCAGAAAAAATTTAAAAAGCCCTGGAGGACTAGGTAGTTTTGGGGTGGAGAAAAGAAAGATATGCTGGCCCCAAGCTTTTCCTAGCATTTTTATGTGTGACAAGACCTTCTGTGCAGGAAGATGGTGGGATGAATTTTATTATCTCTGCATTTGGCTGAATACACTCTGCATTCTTCAGGGTATTTGTTCTAAACCAGGTCTGGTTCCTGGAAGGAAAATAGTCTTAAATTATAAAAGATCGGCTGGGTGCAGTGGCTCACGCCTGTAATCCTAGCACTCTGGGAGGTTGAGGCAGGAGGATCGCTTGAGCTCAGAAGTTCAAGACCTGCCTGAGGAGGAGCGAGACCCTGTCTCTACTAAAAATAGAAAAATTATTAGCTGGGTGTCATGGTGCATGCCTGTAGTCCCAGCTATTCGGAAGGCTGAGGCAGGAGGATTGCTTGAGCCCAGGAGTTTGAGGTTGCAGTGAGCTACGATGACACCCCTACACTGTGCCCGGAGTGACAGAGTGAGACTCTGTCTCAAAAAAAAAAAAAGATTATAAAAGATCCCTTATTAAAAGTCCTTTTAGTAGCACACATTTTAAAAAATAATAGTTGTATCAAGATATAATTCACACACCATAAAATTCACCCTTTTAAAGTGCACATTAGTGGTTGTTAGCATAGTATAGAATAGTAAGCGTAGTGTAGTGTAGTATTGTATAGTACAGCATAATATGAGTTGTGCACCCATCACCACTATATAAATTCAGAACATTTTCATCACCCCCATAAGAAACCCCATACCCATTCCAGAGCCCATACTCTTTGAGAGTTCTAGAACCCATACTCTTCACTACCATATTTTACTGGGTCATTGAAGGGTTATTGAGGATTAGTAGTAAGATGTGTAAGCATCTGGCACAGTGCCTGGGCATAGTAAACAGTAAGAAAATGTAGTTTCTGTTCATAATAATGATATGTTAATGATAAGTCTTTCCCTCACATTTCCACCCAAATTTTCTTATTGGTCCACCATCAACTTCCTGAATGATGTTCATTTTTTAAAAAAACAAAACAGGGAAAATAAAGCATGATCCAAAAAAATATATTACTTTAATTTAGAGGAGACATAAATGGAAGGACTCTTTTAATGAGTTTAAATATAACTGGAGAACATGAAAAAGGCTTTTTATTTTTACCTTATGATAAGATATAAAATTGCTTTGATAATTCAAGACCTGCTTACTTAAAAAGTTTTTTTCCTACTTAATTTTTCACTTAAAGTTACAAAAAAAAGCCATTGGAATTTTTGTCATGGAACTTTCATCATTTCAGTAATCAATATCTAAAAGATGATATTGATCAGCTATCTAAACAATGGTATCAATTTTGCCTTTAGATGTGATGACAATATCTCTTTAAGTCATTGAACAAACTGATTTTTTTCATTTTGCTTCAGTTTCCCCTTTTTATAAAAATGAGTTAATTATTGACAGTTTTAGTTTAATATTAATAAAGCAAAATTTTGATTACAAGGTATATTTGTAATTCAAAATTTATTGTTATAAAAAACATCTTCTTGAATATTAGATAGAATTTCCCACCATAGGCTCAGAGTCTATAAAAATGATAAAATATTTAAATAAAAATTTAGAAAAGACTATGGAAATATTATAAATATATATAACAAGATCTTTTTTTTGTCCCATGGTCACTCACATTACATTTGTGATAGTGGTAAATGTAGGCCAGTGAAATCTCTTGCCAGCTTAAAGATTCTTTGAGTTTATGTATGGATTGTATAGAGGTTTTCTGAGAAAATTATCCAGCATATTTCAATAAGAAAAAAATTCCACTTTGTGAATCTTATAAATCTCATTTTGAAGTGGCAAAGTAAATTAATGCTTAAAAATATAGCTTGGGCCGGGCGCGGTGGCTCACGCCTGTAATCCTAGCTCTCTGGGAGGCCGAGGCGGGCGGATTGTTTGAGCTCAGGAGTTCGAGACCAGCCTGAGCAAGAGCGAGACCCCTTCTCTACTATATATAGAAAGAAATTAATTGGACAGCTAAAAATATATGTAGAAAAAATTAGCCGGGCATGGTGGCGCGTGCCTATGGTCCCAGCTACTCGGGAGGCTGAGACAGTAGGATTGCTTGAGCCCAGGAGTTTGAGGTTGCTGTGAGCTAGGCTGACGCCACGGCACTCACTCTAGCCAGGGCAACAGAGTGAGACTCTGTCTCAAAAAAAAAAAAAATATATATATATATATATAGCTTGGCAAAAGCAAATCATGCAAAGTGAATAAAGAAAATGTTATTATAAAGCCACATTAACTGTAAATTAAAAGAGATTTAAGGTGAGTGCGGTGGCTCACACCTGTAATCCCAGCACTTTGGGGGGTAGAAGCAAGAGGATCACTTGAGGCCAGGAGTTCAAGATCAGCCTGGGCAAAACAGTGGGACTCTGTCTCTACCGAAAAAAAAGAAAAACAAAACCAAAATTAGCCAGCGTCGTGGCGCATGCCTATGGTCCTAGCTACCTGGAAGGCTGAGGCAGGAGGATGGTTAAGCTCAGGAATTCAAGGCTGCAGTGAGCTATGATGCCACTGCACTCTAGCCTTGGGTGACAGAACGAGACCCTGTCTCAAAAAAAAAAAAAATACTGTTAATTTTTTTTTTTTTTATGTGTGGCAATGGTATTAATGGTTAGGTTTTAAAAAAAGAGTTCTTATTTTAGAGACAGCTATGCTGTGATAAAGTGATATAATGTCTGACCAGTAATATGGGAGGGGAGAAAGAAACAGGCTGGGGTATGGATGAAACAAGATCAACTATAAATTGACACTTGTCGAAGCTGGATGATGTATCATGGGGGTTTATTACACTGTTTTGTCTACTTTTTTACATGTTTAAAATTCTCTATAATGCAAATATAAAAGAAAAAGAAATCCAGGTTGAGACTGATAAAAAAAAGATATTATTCTTTTATTTCTATTGTGAGACCTAGTACATTTGTAA